AAGTAAACTGTGTGAATGCAGGGCTAATGTCTTTTTTTGGCGGATAAGGTTACGCCAGCCTGTCTGGTCCTACACACCGATTACCATTATCCGTATGATTTCGTGAGTGGGAATGTCGGTACATAAGATTTTTATATTTTTCAATTTTTGACGCTTCGATCAATTTTATGAGGTGTTTTACCCTGATAATAATAATTATCAAAAAATAAAGAAAGAAAAAAAAAAAAGAAAAGAAAACGCTGAATCCATGGATCGATCTTGTAAATTTGAAGGTGGTGTTACTCAGAAACTCGACGGAACTTGACTTTTATGTGACTGCAGTAACGGAGTATGTTCACCTAATGTTCTCAAGAAAATAATTATAATGTTATTTCCTCAAACGCACTCCATTGACTTTGGTTATGGAGCAATTGAAGTTAATGTTATGGAAATTTGTGTGGCAAAATCCCTGAGTTTAATCTGAAGGTAAACACCGATAGAATCGTAGCTCGCCAAATCCAAAGTCTTTCCATATATCCCAAACGCGTGCCCACGTATTTTATTTGCTTCAATCATTTCAATGGGTCTGGGCTGACTGCTATTAAGTTTGTTAACATCCCATATTCAATACAAAAGGGTCGGTATCTATTACTTAACCCATTATCGAATGCAGGTGGTGTTATTTCCGTTTAAAAATAATTCATTTCAGCTCGTGTTATTTCCCATCACTCTTTATCTTTATTTTGCTGATTTACTACAGTTGATGCTCTGAGCCTATAACTGGTCATTGTGAGAAAACTAAAATCCTGAACTCAACAAACATGATTTTTAAGGGAAGGAACCTTAGTCCTGTAAACTTGTTTTGTTGACATTAATGATATTTAGCAAGGGTGTGCTATTATAATGAACCCTCGACAGTCTTCATACAATCCTGATGCATCGAGGCATAGGTTGTAATTTTCTCGGCAAATTTATTGAATTTCTGTATTTTAATATCAGACGTTTACCAGAGATTTTCTGTTTGTTCAATCTAAAGAGCTTTTTAGAACTCATCATTTATTGATTTTGACGTTAATGAATGTGGGGGAAGATAAAATGACTTATGAATTTGGACTTAAAATTATTTTAGTTTTGTGTGTTCCTGTATCATTTCGAATAATTAGGAGGGCAAAACGAGAATATATTTTGTTCGATGTGGCGGAGTGGGTGGTACAGCTTAACAACTACAAAAACGATATTCGAAATTCAAAAAAGAGTTTCTCTTATTAATTTCGTCGAATTAGAACAAGAAACTCACAATCCATCAAAGAACGTGACTTATTTTATAATTTCAGATTTATTTCAAGATAAAGTCTAAATTAAGAATTCATGTTTTTGGAAAATGAAAGCGGACTGTGCGAGTTCAAGGATTAACGTCTTTTTCGGCGGATAAGGTTATGGCAACCTGTCTGGTCCTTCACACCGATTACCATATTTTATGAGAATTTTCTTTTCGTCAATTATAGATGCTTTAGTCAATCTTGTTAGGGGTTTTCCCCTGAGAGTGAAAACAAAAAACAAAGAAACAAAAAAACAATAAAACAATAAAACAATAAAACAATAAAACAATAAAACAATAAAACAATAAAACAAAAAAACCAAACGCTGAATCTATGGATCGATCTTGAAAATTTCAAAATGTTGTTTCCCAGAAACTCGAGGGAACTTGGCTTTTTATGACTGCATTATCAAGGCATGTTCACCTAATGTTCTTTTAAGAACATTAGGTAAAGTATATGTTTATGATGTTGTTGTCTTAAACGGAAACTACGAATCGTTTTCTATCCCCTTCTTATCTTATTTCCCATCATACTTTATTTCTATTTCGATGGTTGACAACGGTTGAAGCACTGAGCTTATAAGGTGTCATATGACAAGACTAAAAACTTGAGCCCAACAAGCGTGATTTTAAAGGGAAGGAAGACATCAATGGTATTTAGCAAGGGTGTGTTATTATGATGCGCCACATCGGAAATTTGAAGAAGTATTTTGTTACAAAAAAAAGCACTGCTACGGTGAAGAATTGCTTCATTCAAAACCACTTCAATCCTAACCTTTTCTCAGCGATATTTGTTTATATTTATAATGACACCCCTTGTCGAAATTTTAGTTCCATCATTACCGTAAATAGAGAAAAGTGCCAAATTATAAAAAGTCAGTGCTGGCGGTTCCAAGCTCGTCACAAATTGTGAAACTCGAAACGACAGGAAATTCCATAAAGCGATGAGAGAGGATTTAATGCAGTGATGAAGCCCGCTGTCTGGGTTCAATTAACAGTAAAGAGAAATAGAGTTGATGACAAAATCTTCTTCAGTTGAAATATTTAACTTGTTAAAATCTATGGCCGCTTTTTTCTGTACTTATAAAGATTTCCTTTAACGAATTGTTTTGTCTTATTCCCAAACTTAGACTGTTATGCAGCTCGTTTGAATTCCGTTCATATTATGACAAAAGTGAATGTTGGCCCACATGTCTCTTTATCTAACGGATGAAAACCTGAAATGTCTTATAATTTAAAAGGTCTTCCAATGAAGACCTTAGAGGCCAGATCCGATAGTGGATGGTTTGGATGAATCCAATCTTAAATTACGGCACAGCTTTTCCAAACATCAATTTGATATTATCTTTGAGATGAAGATGGCGCTTAAAACAACATTCAGAGAGTCGTCTCACTAATGCTCTGGATTAAGTATAGCAGCTGTCTACACTGGATCGTGCTCATTTGTTATAAGTTGTCTGATGGGTTCTGCTTCAACAATCTTTATTCAATCCTGATGTATCGAGACAAAGGTCGTGAGTTGCTCAGAAAATTTATGGAATTTCTGTTGTTTAATATCCACCGTCTAAGTGAGATTTATTGTTTGCTCAAACTAAAGAGCTCCGTAGAACTCATCATTAATCAATTTTGACGTTGATGAATGTCGAGGAAGATAAAATATTGTCTTAAACGCACTCCAATGAATATAACTCTGAAGCAATTGAAGTTAATGTTATGAAAATTTGTGTGGTAAAATCCCTTTTTCTAATCTGTTGATGAACACAGATGGAATCGTAGCCCCTTAAAACCAAAGTTTTTCTAACTGGCACAAAGGAAAACATGGAAAACGTGTTCATTCGCAGACTTTAAAACGCGTACCCACGTATATTATTTGCAGGGGCAGGACTGACAGCTGTTAAATTTTTTAACATTCCTTTTTAAAACTAATAGGTCGGTTTCTATTACTTAATTCATTATTAAATGCAGGTGGTCGACACGAAATTTGTGGCACACTTAAAACACCAATACTGAGCTCCGTCATCTTGAGGAAGCATGGAATTTTCAGCGTTTCTATTATTCTCAGTCTGGACTTCATCGATGACTTACTTGACGTTTGGTAAAGGTGAGTTACAAAATGCGAATCATTTTCTATCCCTATATTCGTACTTCAGCCCATGTTGTCTTATTTTCCGTTACTCTTTATTTCTATTTCGCTGATTCACAACAGTTGATGCCCTGAGCTTATTAACGTGTCGTTATGACAAAAGGTAAAATTAAAAACCTGAATTCAACAAACATGATTTTTAAAGGACGGAGCCTAAGTATTGTAAACTTCTTTTGTAGATATTAATAGTATTTAACAAAGGGGTGTTATTATGATGAACCATATCGGAAATTTGCAGTTGTTACGAAAAAAACTAAGAACGGCTACGATGAAGAAATGCTTCATTGAAAACCACTGCAATCCTAACGCTCAGCTCACATTTACATGGAAGGGTATTGAATTCTATAAAAAACATGTCGTTGTTAAATCTCTTTTTACCTTTAGAATTGGAGACTTTAAAACTTGCCAAAGAACAAATAGCTTAATTGAGAAGATCCTTGAGAAACTTTTGTACAGAAGCTTTGTGCGATTGTTAAATTTTCTGTACTTCCAAAATAAACTCATGCAAGAATACACTAGACTGAAATTTATTCACATATATATTATTCAGTGTATTTAAAAACTGTTGCTGTGATCAATATTTTTGAACAGGATAAAAGTTATGTGGGTGGACTTTATTCGACATGAGGAAAAAAAATTAATAAAAGCAGATAAATGAGTTGTCTTAAGTAAACAAATGACAGAAATAAATGGATGATTATGTTCACCATAGATAAGAAATTAACACCACCTACGTTTGCTTGCAAAAGAAAAACAAATTTAAAATTCCATTGTAGAATTGTGCGTTTTGAAAAATTTCTGAAACTAATATAAATCTGCTCATTGACGCAAGACAAGAATATTTTTTCAGCGTCAATTTGCATGATTTTCCTCTATTTAAGATCGCTGTTTGAAGGAAAGAGCCATAGGGGACTTCTCCAGCAATACATTTCCTTACTAGACACTCAATAGTCAAGCACTTGTTTATGCAGAGAACATGTTTATACAAAAAAAAGCAAGAAAGCAAAAAACGAAAAAAAGCCATTGAAGACTCTCCCTAGTCAAAGTGTTTGTGATATTTAAAGCTCCCTACGAGAGAATTCGAATTAATTTCATTGCACTGATGGCACCGACGTCAAAGATGCAAACACTAATTGACTACCTTTTTAGTACGAATGTCACAGTGTTTGATGATTTCGCCTTTTATATCGAAATGATAGACTCAGCTAAAATCGTAGGAGCTTTTTGAATTTCCAAACTCATGTGAAACACCACAAGTTCCGTACCTCAAAAACTCTTAGACTGTCAAATTAAGGTCGTTTTGAGTTTTTTCTTTAATTGTAGAAAACGATGAAGAATTTACAAATTTTTAAGATGCATTTGACGAATCGTCGTTCTTTTCACCAACAGCTTTGTTTGACTTACGTTTTCGACGTTGCCACCATAGTTTGCTGACTTCCGAGAATTTTTGCTAAGAGATTTGTTCTTGGAACTTTTTATTCAAAATTTAATTCTTTTGAGACGGAAAAGTATGCCTTATAATCATATTTCAATTTATCTACTTTAGAGAGAGAACGCACAATGGTGTTTCCGGACTATTACTTCTTCGCTGAAAGACGTTTGGTAAACCATGCCATTGATGAAAAACGCGTCAAGGATTTGGATGACTGTGAACTCTTTTGCTACCTGACGGACGACTGTGTCAGTCTTAACTACAAAAAAGATCCAGAAAGTGATAAAACAGGTTACAACTGTGAACTTAATAATGCCACGCATCTGAAATATGACAGTGACTTGACAACTGATGCAAAGTTTTATTATCGTGGCTCAAAGGTGAGTTACGAGTCGATTTTTCATAATCATCGCCTTAAAATAATGCAAAAACAACATGAATGTTTATGCAAGTTCTCGTGCATTCGATCATTCGGTATTTTGGTTCTTCTTTCACTCAAACTCTCGATCTTTCTTTAGTTATTTGTTTCATTGTGTTTTTGTCCTTCAGAACGCTTGTGACAAGAGTCCCCAGTGTCAAAATAACGCAACTTGCCAGTCTGGATTTACATTCAAGGGATATCGATGCTTGTGTCCTCCTGGATTCAAGGGAAAACATTGTGAAAAGGGTATAAGTCTAAGTCAACACTTGAAATGAACGTAAATGAGTTTTTTTCTAATTTTCAATGCTGGTATGACAACTGTTCTCTAGTTGTTGAAAGTGGCGTGAACTTGTCCATTGTATAAGGTGCTGAATCTTTCCAAAAGAAAATTTCTTACTATATTTTATTGGGCGTGTGTAATGTATTCTTCGTTCGCTCCTTTGTAAATTTTCGTTTTATTTTGTTTTGGTTTGCCTGCTTGTTTACTGTTTTTTGTTGTTGTTATTTGTTGTTGTTGTTGTTGTTGTTGTTTTGTTGTTGTTGTTGTTGTTGTTGTTTTGTTGTTGTTGTTGTTGTTGTTGTTTGTTGTTGTTGTTTTTTGTTGTTGTGTTATTTTTTAATATATTTTTTTTTTACCTTAAACGTTCGACGCCTTTCCATGGCAAAATAAGAGCAGTTCATATGTATGTCGAATGCTTAACACAGTAACTGCAAGGAGAGCTCAGAAATAATAGCTTAATTGAAAGTTACCACCAGAGGACCACTTAAAGCAGGAAGCTACAAATAAATTAAGGTTTTTGCGAATTCCTATTGTTCCTATGGCTCTTTCTTAGAAAGCGAACGCTTATGTCTTTAGTTGATATTTTATTCATGTATTTTTTTTTAATTGTTTCTTTTTAATTTTTACGACAGATACTGATAAATGCGAAGCATCCATTGGCAAATGCCACAAGGAGGCTTCGTGTAATAACACACACGGATCATACGTGTGCACATGCAAACCTGGATTTATCGGAGATGGGCATAATTGTACAGGTAACTGTCAGATAGATAGATAGATAGTTTATTATCAAGAACCTTGCAGCCATAGGCTGAATTACGTTTGATTTACAATAAAATATATACTACAAAAAATACATGGCTAAGAAGAACTAATTAAAAAGACAAAAATATATAATTAAGAGAAAAACAATATTACATCATTGCTTTATGGACATAGTGATGGATAAAACTATTTCGAGTACGAATGGTGTGGAGGCGCCGTGTAGTAAAAGAGTGCTGACTCCTTAAATTGACTTCGCACTCATTCTTGGGAGGTAGTAAGCTATAGAGCTTGTGCGAGGGATTAGACAGGATGGAATTAAAAAGCTTATCACATAAGAACTCGCGGCGGTTGTGTAAGGGAACTAGACCAGTCAAAAGAAGCGCCTCATTGTACGAACAATCTGGATAGATAATACGTAGAGCTCGCCTTTGACATCTCTCAAGATCTACTGAAAGGTATTGCGGGAGGCTATGATGATAAACAGGGCATGCATATTCAGTGACAGGCCTAATACAAGTCAAATAGAAGAGCAAAAGTTCCTCCGACTTGACCTGTGCACGCTTAAGCTGACGCAAAAAATACAGGCGCTTGTTTACTTTCTTTACAACTTCGGATACGTGATTATTCCACGTAAGATCGCAAGATATCTGCAAACCTAAGATCTTTGCTTGCTCTACACACTCTAAGTCCTGATCATTAACCTTAATTGGATCAAAGTTCTTTCTAGAGTGACTGAATGTTATGCGCAGTTCCTTGCACTTGGTTTCATTTAATTGGAACTTGTCAGCAGAAGCTTGCGTCGCGAGTTCGTCAACCGCTTGTTGGACTTTGCTGACCTCAGACTTCATGACTGTTTCAGAAATAGTGGAGTCATCGACATATTTCCACATGTCTGTACCCGGGATGATGAGGTCGTTTATCATAATAGTAAATAACCAGGGGCCAAGTTTTGTGCCCTGTGGGACCCCTGATGGGGTGGCCCCCCACTCCGAGTAACAGTCCTGACTAAGTTTAACACGCTGTCGGCGACAGGACAGAAAGTTCACTATCCAGTCAATTATTCCGCTTGGAAGATCGTATGAAATGAGCTTCTGAACTAGGATCTGATGGTCAATAAGGTCAAACGCCTTGCGGAAGTCAAAGAGGATGGTTCTGACAGTTGCACCGTTCCCATCCGTAGCACTAAGCCATGAGTGGACCATGCTTATTAGTGCTTGTGTCGTACTGGAACCTGGCACAGTCCCAAACTGCCGTACATCCACTTTCGCCAACACAACAGGCTTGAGGAAACTCTCCACGACGAAATCTTCAGCAACCTTAGAAAGCACGGGAGTTAGGGATATTGGACGTAGATGTTTGTTTACATCGTGTATTGGATTCTGCTTTGGTACTGGAGTGATGTTAGCGTCCTTCCAAGACTGAGGCAACCGTGCTTCCTTAAACGAACAGTTAAGGATATCAGTCACAGGCAGTGCTAGTAAATCTGCATTCTCTTTAAGAAGCCAACCGGGGATTCCGTCCGGACCGGTTGCCTTAGTTGGATTTAAGGCGGATAGCTTCTTTAAAACAGAGAATTCTGATACCTGGAAAGCACTCTCCTGGTCAGAGTTGGTTGAGGTGTTAGGTGAAAGGGGGTGAAGACGCGCATAGGAGCCAAGAACGCCTGGTTGATGGTGTTAGCAATGTCTATCGTGCTTGGAGGCGAACCTCCTGACCACAATCAATATGTTGGTAGAGGGTAGCTGGATTAACGCCTCTAGAAGCTGCGTCTGACGTACCACTGAGCTTCTTTACCTCACGCCACCAAACTGCGGGTTTACAGTCCTTCAGATGTTCAACCTTGGAGTTATAGAACTTTGCACGGCATGCTTTCCTCTCACGATTAACGCGATTTCGTAGGGTGCGGTACTGCTCCTGGTCGCCTTGAGCGAGGGCCTTTTGGCGGCTGTGAATGAGACCCTTCAATTGTTGATTGACCCAGGGCGGCTCGTTGGTTTGTACCGACTTAGACTTCAGGGGAAGGAGAATGTCCATTCCGGTCTTAACTATGGTCTCCAGCATTTCCACTTTGCCCTTGCAAGAATCTTTACTATCGATAAGTGTCTTAACGTCCACATTTCCAAGATACGTGCGCATAGCCATACGCGTTGTAGGCTGTAAGTCCCTCGATTTCACGATAAGTTTAGTTCTTGGTTGTTGGGAACGCACGAGCGGCTGAACTTCCACAGAGAAATGATCGGACAAACCGAGAGCAGGGCGCTGGATCGGAGGGGCATAGAACTCCTTCACATTTGTTAACACCGGATCTAAGGTATTTCTGCCGCGAGTTGGAAAGGTAACGATTTGCTTCAAATTAAAGCCGTTACTAAGGCGCGAAGATTTCTTTAACAGAGTTTTATTGAAGTCACCAAGTAAAATTATCCCGCAGCCAGGAAAGCGAGCCTCAACCAAAGATAAACAGTTATACAAATAATCCAGCATAGGCGAATCCGCGGCGCTCGGAGAATGATAAACAACTCCAACAATAATGCTGGTAATGCCCCTTGGGAGACGCGAAGGCCGTATTTGAGTCCAAACAACTTCAAACTTCCTATCCATAATGTCCTCAATGATCTTGAATTGGATAGACTCTTTAATGTACAGACACACTCCCCCATGCACTGCTTCAGTTCGATCTCGGCGGATCACGTTATAGCCAGAAATAGCGACAATATTATTGTCAATGTGGTCTTTGAGCCAAGTCTCTGTTATGCATACAAGGTCGAAATCTGCATAATGGACGACTTCACGGACTTCATCTATTTTCGGCGCCAGTGACATGACGTTGGAGAGAAAGAACGACGGCATGAATAGCTTTGATGACTTTGCAGGTTCGGCTTTAGATGGTGTAGGTGGAATAGCGAGAAGGTTGGCGTTATTACAGTATTTGTGACTGGACTTCAAACGGTAGGGGCCATGGTTGGCTGACCTTGGTGAAATAACTGCAATATGGCGGTGACGATAAACTTCTCGCTCCTTCACTTGTCGTCCAGCTCTGGTACCGCGATAAGATGGCCATTTCCCACCATGAAATCGAAGAAAACCAAAAGAGGGGCGAACCTGGACCATTTTGCGGCAGCAGATATAACATTTAAGGCAATAAAAATTCAAAAATTACGGAAGCAGATGAGACCTCGTGCTGCCTTGAAAGGCGCATACATTCAATGAATGTCATTAGTCACAAAAGCCTTTAGATTCTTGTTAAATAGTACAATGACATTTTGTTTTGTTGGTTGTTTGTTGATGTTTATTTTGGTAACGTGGCAAGCCAGTTTTTAATTATTCAAAAGAGGTAAGGCAGTTACTCGAATTAAAGTTATAAAGTGAGAGCTTTTTACATACATAACTTGTTTTCATCAGGTACGACAATCTTGCGTTCTCGCAATCCAGCTAAAGGTTGAAAACAGCCATGGTTTGCACGCTTTAACACAGTTATGGCTTATGCACAGCGATTTTTGCATAGATTTGAAATCCCATTTTTTTTATCTGTGATTTCATAGACATTGACGAGTGTAAAGGAAAGCACTCTTGTCACGAGAATGCAAACTGCACCAACACCATTGGATCACATGTATGCGATTGTCAGGCTGGATATACTGGAAACGGACAAAATTGCACAAGTGATTTGATTCATATAAAAGCAGTGTAACTGCAAGGCTAGTTCAGAAATACAAGCTTATTTGAAATGTCCAACTAGAGAACCGCTTAAAACAGAAAGCTACAATGAAATTGAGGTTTTTGTGAACTGCTAAGTTCCTATCACTCTTTGATAGAAACCGAAATGCTTATGTCTTTAACTAATTTTTTTTTTTTTCTCGGCTTATTTCTACTTTTTACGACAGATACTGATGAATGCGAAACAAACCCTCGCAAATGCCACGAGGAGGCTGCGTGCAATAACACACGCGGATCATTTGTGTGCACCTTGACTAGTATAATGAGCTTTTGTTTAGTTGATTGTTTGTCGTTTTTGTTTGTCTTGGTAACGTGGCGAGCCATGTTTTAATTCTACAAAATAGGTGAGGCAGTTACCCGACTAAAAGTTATAAAGTGATAGGTTTACATAGACAACTTGATTTCTTCGTGTACGATAATCTCGCGTTCTCGAAAGCCAGCAAAAGGTTTAAGATAACCATGGCTTGCACGCTATAACATGGTGCTGGCACGACAATTTTTGCATACTTTTGATACCCTCCTTTCCATCTGTTAATTCATAGACGTTGACGAGTGTAAAGGAAACCACTCTTGTCACGAGAATGCAAACTGCACGAACACCTTTGGATCACATGTATGCGATTGTCAGGCTGGATACACTGGAGATGGACAAAACTGCACAGGTGAATTTGATGCATATAACAGCAGTTCATATGTATGTTGTATACTTAATAGAGTAGCTTCAAGGAGAGTTCAGAAATAATACCTTAATTGAAAAGTTCCACCAGAGAAACACTTATAAAAAATAGTTTGATTGAAAGGTCCCACCGGAGAACTTCTTGAACAAAAAAGCTGCAAATAAATTAAGGGTTTTGCCAATTGAGAATCGTATTTAGCTCCTTGATAGAAACCGAAATGTCTGTCATCGGGTGATATTGCGTTTTTGTCTTTTTCTTCTGTTCTCTTATTTATTTTTCGACATATATTAATGAATGCAAAACCCCCTGGCAAATGCGACGTGCACGCTAGGTGTAATAACACACACGGATCATACGTGTGCACATGCAACCTGGATATACTGGAGATGGAACGAATTGTACATTTACAGTCAATAGTCTCAGAGGCCATTAGATACTTGATTACTATTATACGTAATTCTTATTTGGTCTGTTTCTTTGTCGGGTTGCTTTGATATCATGGGAAGCTCTGATATTTAATATTTGTAATAACTAAGGCAGCCACCCAACTTAAATTTATTCATTGAAAGATGCGGTGATAATAATTTGCTTCACCTTTTAAGGCAATCTCACATTTTTGCCGTCGCACGTATTTGACGACATACATGGAACATAATCTCAAACACGGTAATGACTAATGCTCGTTTTTCTTTTGTCTTTGGTTTCTCAGATATCGACGAATGTAAAGGAAATCACTCTTGCCACGTGAATGCTAATTGCAAAAATACCATTGGATCACATGAATGTGAATGCTACCCTGGATTTGCTGGAAATGGACGTAATTGTGCAGGTGAATTTGACAGACTTCCTTTAGCATTAATAAGAGCCCTAAAATGATGATAAGATAACTCAGATTCAAATAAACACCACAGCATTCGGAACAGCAAGGAAATGCGGTCATGGATGATTTCTTTTTGTTCGTTCTTTCTTTCGTTGTTTATTTCGATATTTTTGTGCTGTTGTGGCAAAATAAGAGCAGTTTATGGCGTATCCTTTAGGTAGTACTTGCTGTGCCAACGTGAACAAATTTAAAAAAATAACGGGTTTGACTAACAGGTCCAACCCGAGAACCACATGAAACCAGGAAATTGCAAATAAGTTTTCTAACTTTTTTCTCTCTTGACTCATGAATAAAAACGCTTTCGCATTTTTCTTTCTTTTCTCTTTTTATTTTTTTTTGACAGATATTGACGAATGCAAAACGTACCCTGGCAAATGTCATGTAAATGCTACTTGTAATAACACACACGGATCACACGTTTGCACATGCAAACCTGGATTTACTGGAGATGGACGCAATTGTACAGGTACAGTCAATAATCTCAGAAGCCTTCAGATTCTTTTCGACTATAATGATATTTTTTGTTTGTTGTTGTAGTCGTTTTTTTTTCGTTGTTTTTTTTGATACCACGGAAAGCCAAGATTTGATTTTTGTAACATAGGGAAAGGCAATTACCCGCAGTTGGTGCTTGGCTGTGAATCTTAGAGATAAAATGTATAAAATTTCATAAATGCGTTCAACAACAAAATGAAGTTGAAAGGAAAAAATTAAGTGTGTATAGTATGTATTAAAACAAAATTTTAACAATTGTTGACAGTTCATTAATAGGTCACAGAGGACGTCAAAATGTGGTAAGAACAAAAAAGTGGCACACTCGGCTGCGCCTCGTGTGTCACTGATGTTCTTATCCCATTTTGACGTCTTCTCTGATCTATTACTGAACAGACGCACGGCAACTTGGAATCTATTTGTTTTATATAATAAAGAATTAAAAAAAGCTTTAATGATGACGTCGTCTATACGTTTGTCCTCCAATAGACCATAGGTAAGAACCAATCAGAATGCGTGCGTAACTGAGCTTATATATATATATATATTTATAATAAAGTTCGGATATAACGCGTGCTGTGATTGGTTGAAAGAGCGTGCTCTATGAGAGTATAGAGCATAGGGCTGAACTAAAGCTGTCACGCCATCTGCCAATTGTACTATGTTCGACCTTTTCCGGGACTTCCTTTTAGCTTTATTCCGATAATTAAAAGTGAAACAGAAGAAACAAAAAAGTGAAACAGAAGAACCAAACAAAGGTTTGTAAACATACCAGGCGCCGTAATTTACGTTATTAAAACGTGAGCAGATACGAAAATCCTCAAAGGAAAAACAAAATAGACATTCCGAGTTTTAAAGATTTCACGCTCAATTAGATTGCAAGCTCACGTACCGTAATAAAAATCAAACACAGCTAACACTCGTATAGTATATAAAGTTCAGTGTTCAAAAACAAAACATAAAAAAACAGAAATGATGAAAAATATAACCAAACTGGCATAATTGTTAAAATTCATACTAATCACGACGGTGTCTGAGCGAACATGATCATACTGAAGTTCATCGCGGCTCGCTCATCATGGCGATCTCCGGTCATCACAGTAAAGCAAGCCTCAGAAACTACATCGGCCGCCCTTCAAGTGAAAAAATAAGAGCTTGCTCTGATATCCTTTCCGATACGTTGAGTGGAAAGTCACATCAATTACTGCAGCCGAGTTTTGCGGCGCTGTCATCCCGAGCGATCTTCATGTTTCGGTGAGTTCGGCTGTCGTTCATTCAAAAAACACACGCCTTGAACAGTTTGTTTTCTACCTTGTCATGTGAAAAAACTCGCGTGTTTTTATAAGCCATAATCCGGCTGAAGTTCACTGAACATTTCACTTCAAGATTCTGTATTAGAGACTTAAAAACTTCAAGCAAAAGTGTTAAATTCGACCTACCGAACTATTTTAGTTTGTAAACTATCATAGAATGTGAACTTTGATGGTTTTTTAACTTTAATGGTTTGACACTTTTGACAGCTTTAGTCTTGTACAGCCAATCAGATTATTTTAATCATTCTAACAGGGATTCTGATTGGCTTGCGGTAGCGTGCTTTATGAGAGTATAGAGCATGCTGACGACACTGTTGTTCGCTTTGGAAATAAAGTTTGTTTTGAAAATTGAAAGTAATGCTTGGGTAATTTAACGGATTCTTTATTATAAAACAAATAGAGAAGCCTTGACTGTGCTCTGTTCTGTTATAAAGCACTTAGGAAGCGGCTAGAGCACTCAAGAAGTGGGAAGAAACACTCGACTACGTCTCGTGTTTCTCCCTACACTTATTTCGTGCTCTAGCCGATTCCTGTGTGCTTTATAACAGAACAGAGCACAGCCAAGGCTTCTCTATTTGTTAAATATATATATCAAAACTCAAATGTAATTAATTATCGTGCTCCATAATGAGGGCGTGGAAATATTTTAATTCTATCTTATTATCGTGAAAGTGGATTTTTTTCGCTTCAGTCTGTCGTTGGTATACGATTTTCTCGAGGAAAATCTTGCATCTAGTTTAATAAAGATTGGTTTTAAAAGAATAGGGGTATCAATTATGTATCATAGCCTTTTTTTGTTCTGGCATTAACCATATTCTAATTTTCTTTTCAATTCTTACTGCGCGCGCGCAAAAGATGAAAGTTTCTTTAAACCAGTCGGCAACCGTTGGTCAAAATTCGTAGGTGACACTGTACTCTATAGCGTTGTAGAATTTTGTAATATTGCCCACTAACAGACTTTTGACGGTAAAAAAAAAAACAGTTAGATTCTATAGGAAATCAAAGAAACCAGTGATGGGGCACCCTGTTAGGGAAAACCGGGTATAGCTGTATAACAACACATTTTGCATCAAATACATTATTTTGCACTGTGACGCAGCATGTATTTTCAGGGTACAAAATGAACCCTTATAATAAATAACAAAAAGGAAATATTTAATCTAACAATGACGATTTTGCTTCATAATTAGACCCTGAAATTATTTTCATTTTCGTGTCATTCAGATGGGTAAATGGCTGATATTCATTACCACAAATTTTTGAAGGAACGTTCTGCTCATTTCATAATAATCATTGGTGTTAAAAGATTACGAGTATCACATTTTGTGACATTTAGTTTCTTTTATTTTCTAGTGACATTCGTTGTAGTTTGATCTTGACTTAGTATGCTTGTTCTCTTTCAGACATTGACGAATGCAGGGAGGTTCATGTTGATAAAATAAAACAATGCCATCCGAATGCCTCTTGCATCAATACCCAGGGTTCATACAACTGTTCTTGTAACCCTGATTACGTTGGTGATGGTTTTAACTGTGAAGGTACGTTTGTTATCTACCTTTTGATCAGTTATGTTCGGTCAGGTGACCATAAGCAGCCGTACTGTTGGTTTTTTATATATAAACTAGATAAGCTGCACTATTATTGTGCATAAAGTTGTTCTTTGATGCGTTATCGAAGAAAAAGGAAATACAAATTCAGATACTGCTCTTCATAGTTAATAAAATATGATTAGCCATATTAATTATTTTTCGTGGTTGACTAAAGATGTCTCACTTCTTGACCTCTTATAAATACCTAACAGTTATAAGTAGTTCTTGTGAAATGAAATTTCTGGCTTTGGCCGTTGAACTGCTAGAATTTTAAGGCGCAAGAACAAATCGGTTAACCATTTATTGTAATTGCTGCAATCATCTTTAACCTTTTAGCCGATCCATGTAATACTTATAAAGAATTGAACGATGCCAATAGAAGAAGTAATTACGATACACCGCAAGGTGGACCAGTGTTATGCGACAGAGATCTTGAGGGATGGTACCGTTTTGTGGGAGCTGCAGGAAAAAAAATGCCAACAACGCGTGTGGAACCATACCACTGTGGTACAGAATGGTCAGGCTGGTTGGATGGTGCTCATCCTACAGTGGAAGATGGTGAAGTTCGAAGGACGGTCTGCTTTAGTAATCGTAAATCTAAGACCCCGCGTTGCAAATACTCAGCAAAGATTTTTGTGAAAAACTGTGAATCCTACTTTATCTACAAACTTGTTAAGCTAACAAAGTGTGAATCGCGCTACTGTGCTACAGATTGAATGCGAAGTGAAAAAACGGATCTGTCTGCTGGTGTACGTATTTGATGGATTTTACCCAGTCCTTTCTTCATCTTACCGGTTATTATTATTACTTCGGTAGATTTTATTCACTGGTAGCGTCCTGTTAAATTGTGCACCTATCAAGTGCTATGAAGTTTGCATTTAAAAAATTCTCACTAGTGATAATTTGTAGGACACAGTAGCTACCAGAATAGACCTTTTAAGCCATCAGTTACGTGGTCCGAAATGAGTAAACAATAGTCGCGGCCATAACAAATTAGCTTCGAAACGAGAGGAATGGTCGACTATCACTGCGCCTGTAACTGCCTCAGTATTTACACAAATTCGGATTTGCAATTTCTTTAATATGCTAAGGATCCTAAGCTTTACAAGTTCAGTATCCACTAGTCGGACGAATTTGTGTTTTAATCTGCATGAGTAAATGGTCAGGAAGATAATTTCGTCTCGTCTCGATTTCTAAATGAGATTGTTGTTTTTTATTTCCTTTTAAACAAGCATGGAATTCAATAATAATAAAAACAAACAAAAAACAAAACAAAACAAAAACAAAAGCACAACTTAATAGTAACATCTAGCACCAACATGTGTTCTGAACATTTCGACGACGAACAAGACAGTCGAACAATGATACTGACGGATGGCTCCTGTGTTTTGTTTTTATGGTCAACAAGAGGCTATTAGAAATAGAATTTCGCTTCCATCATAATAATTTTAGGCATGGCTGTCGCAGGGCAGGAACTGAAATTCAGGGAAAAATAAATCACTTCAAGGCCTGGGAAAAGTCAGAGAATTTTACCTCGAGTCAGGGAAAAATTACATCTTTTAAAGAAGTCAGGGAAAAGTAAAATTTTAGGTAATTATGAGGTTGTTCACCTTGTCGTGGCCCTCTTCAAGATGAAAGATGGTGAACCTTTCCTTTTAGATGTTGATTGTGTACATCGGTAGAAGAGTTGACAGATTCCTGACCACTATATCCTTTCTTTATAATACAAGTTGAAGTTGGTTTGTGAACAAAATTATACATTTTCTTTATCTTCTATCTTAATTTTTTTTACTTTTGAGATTCTTTGGTACTATTCACGGATATCAAAGATAGTAGATTGGAAAAAGAAGCTGATGTTGGGTTTCCAAGAAAATCGTTACTTTTTCCATTTTTTCGTGCCTCGTGATACAGCTGATTCTTTCGTCAAAAGTTCGCTTTTGGTTTGCCAAGGGATCACTCTACGGCAGCGAAACTCTTGAGCACTGAGCAAGAGGAACCTTCGCCGCACTTAGTGCGAAGGAATGAAATGATAAGGCAACAGAAACGAACACACTCCCATTCTTAGCATAGATTTCGCCATAGAAAACAAAACAGAAACGCAACAAACTAATTCTTCAGTAACGAGAGTTTTTTGTTCTAGTCTTGACCTGAAAACCGTCTTAGTCAGTCTTCGTTGAAATCTTCGTTTGATTCCTGCGGTTCTCTTTCGTAGGGCTGAACCATGCTCGCAACTTCCATTTATTCTTTGCTACTTGAGTACGATGTATCACAATTCTCGGTAGAGCTTGCTGAAGGTAAGTATACATCGTTATCGGCTATAATTTCAAGAGTATTTCAACGCTGATTGCTACAAAATTACAATAGATATGAGAGATTTGTTAGTGTCAACTGATAGATTTAACAGTTTTCTACGTCATCACTAGCTAATTCGTTACCAGTTCAAGGGACTCTTTTAAGACAAAATAAGAGCACTTTAGGGCCCGAAATAACCGTGTTTTGGGCTTTTAAATTTTCCTTCTATCGTAATTGTTTTGTAAATATGATAAGCTAAGTATTTACGAAAAAAAAAAATCGTGTCATGGGTACTTGAAGGAATTGTGATTTCATACAGACTTTATGTGACTTGCTTAATTTATGGGCTACCGCTTAGTTTTTTTCCGACTTGTATCCCTTAAACATGTAAAGAAGCTAAGCGAAGACCGGGCGTCTCCGGGATTGCTCATCAGTTCCTCATCGATATGTAATAGTTTGGAATGTAAAGGTTCTCTCCATTTCTAGAATTTCAAGAAAACTAAACGACTGCCAGTCATTTAGTTATTTGAGAATCATGACTGGCAGTCGACCTCACATAATTTCCAATTACGTTCTAATTCGCTTCGCTCAAACGAACGTAAATTATTTTACCCTTAAATTCCCGTAATAAATAAATCAGACAAGCAGTATGGTAGGATGCGTAAGCGGATCCAAAACCATATGAAATCACAAAGTAAATTGTACGCAATTTTTATTACCACGAAAAAGCTGATTATCAGAACCCACAGCGGCTCTTGCTTTCTTTCCATCAAAATTTCATCAAAATTCATAAAGCGAGCCGAGGTTAGTCGACGTAGCACCAGAAATTCGCAGCTTTTGCAAATTCCATTCTTTAGAACAGCTAGCGGTCAGAGAACATTTTTCTATAGAACTGTAAACTTATGGAACTCTTTGGATAATTCCTTTAAACTGTGCAACTCCGTTAAGGTTTTTAAAAAACGTTTAAGGACCAAATTACTCAAAGAGTTGTAATTTTATATATTTGTATGCTTTTATTTTTCTTTTAGAACATTCAGATTTTAAAACATCTTTAATTGTAAATAGGATTTTTTAATTGTAATAGGATTATTTTTATAACATTGTCTTTGAAAAGCCCCCTTGGGGAAAGTCAATAAAGTATGTTGTTGTTGTTGTTGTTGTTTCCGCTCCCGCTCGTGAGTCGGTCCTTTTGTCGTCTCTTTCGACTCGCCGTTTCTCTAGCCTTTTTGAGCCGTTTCTCATCTTCGGAGTCGGACACCAACTCATCGGATTCGTACTCTGCCACAACTTGCCAACCGTCCTTGCTCTTGTCGGCAATTTTTATTCGCTTTTGCCGTTTGCGAATAAGCTCCCTGGCCTCTTGAGAATACTTCTTAATCAGCGGTAAATTTGGTTCGCCGCGCTCTGACTCGGTTTCTATGCTTTCAATGATGGAATCCAATTTTGCATTGAGCTCGTACTGCTTCTGGTTGCCCTTGTATTTCAATTGCACGACTTCTTTGTCTATTTTGCTCGATCTGCTTGGTTTTAACCTCCAATTTCTTCTCCAGGTAATCTTTAAACATTGAAAAAACCTGGTCGACAGATGCCGAGTTGCCACCACCATGAACCGGTTGGGTTGTATCTGTTGAGCGGGAAGAACCTTCGGTTTGCTCCTGTTCGCTGAACATTAGAAGCACACGCTTGAAAAAACACTCGCGAAAAGATGTAAAACTGTGAAGTAGGAAACCGCAAACGTGAATGGTGTACAGTCGAGAGTATAAGTACTAGAAGCCGACCAATAACAGCGTAGAAGGCACAATAAAGGGAGTGGCAGGTGTCAAAGCGAAACAAGTACGCCTAATTACTTCGAATACCAGCGGAAAATACATATATTCTGAGTAAGCGTAGGCCGAGCGTTAGACATGAGATTTAAAAATCTCCTTGAGTTCAACAAATAGAATTATCGGTTGTACAGGTTCTCTCTCTTTCTGAAAAGTTTTAGAAAAATTCGCGATGGTCGGTCAATTAGTTATTTAAAAACCATGACGGGAAGTCGACCGACTACTGGCCATTTATTAATTGTTCGGAAAACCTTCACCGGCTTCCGGTCATATAACCAGAGCGTAAAATTCACGAGAAAGACAACAACAACAAAAAAATCAACTGTTTTCAACAAAACATAGCTTCATTTTAGCCTTAATTCATAAAATCGCCAAACGTTTCTCTCTGTCATACATTTGTTTCCATTTTGTGCCCGTTTCATGTACTTGTTGCGATCTTAAAAATCGTGTGCTCGCAAGTTTGTTTTTCCCGCTCGTGGTTGTTTACCATCTCAATTACAAACTTTACTTCGATTGTCGTCCGTCGTTTTCCACAATATCTGGATTTAACCAAGCCTAAAAGCGGAGCTCTTGTTAGTTTATTTTCTAGCCCCTCATTATAATAAAAACTGTAATAAAACTCCTCAACACTGGCTGATGACGAGTTTCTTCAAGGGGGATTTAGGCACTGGTCCAGGGGGTGGGAAGGGAAGGAAAGAATTGACGAGGTCTGGAACCTGGGGACGAATAACCGATCGATTGAAGAGTATACACGTGATAACAGTGAATTAGTAAATCAAGACGTCACAATCGTATGGGCTTCTCTTATAGCTTCTCTTGAAGTTGCCAGGTATGACTGCTTGCCCCACCGTTTTTCTCTAACCTTTCTACCTCCTCTTTTTAAGATTTTTTTCTGTTATTTGATTCAGTAACCTCTGCTGTAACTACTTCCAATGTAGGTTTCTTTAAGCCAGCTGCCCATGATCTTAGCAACTCTAGCTAATGAAATACGAAATTTGTCTAACATGTTTCTTGCGCTGCAAAAGTTTGCTTTGAAGAAGACAAGCCAAAGTTAAAATGTCATGATTAAAACTTGATGACCAAGAGAGACTTAGGATTCGATCATGAAGAATATTGTGGAAAACTTGAGATAATGCCTAGATTTCATTTTTACATCATAGCAATCAATTCCAAACATCAATCAAGTTTTCTGTTTAGTTTTAAAGTTGAGTTGATGTTGTTATTGGCTTAAATGGGTTCGAAAGTCTTTGATGGTATTTTCTCATGTTTGCAAATAGTTAAATTTACTGAAAGGTAGAGTTGTTGCAGCATGTTAACATGAAACACGACAGTTAATTTTATTGATATGTAAAAAGTTTTCATTTGGCTACTGGCATGTCGTTGTATTATATTTCAATCCAACCATTTTCCACAATCTGTAAACACCATCACAAAATGATAAGTCAGGAAAACATACGCCATGTTTGAAATGTCATGTCCATTGTAGGCTAACAGGATTGAGGAGGGTGTATGTGGGAAAAGGCTCTCTTGTCTGTATTATTAATTTGCTGATCGCTCCTGATGCCAATGTTTTGATGAGCTTGGGCTGTAAAGGTAAAGGAACTGAAGACTTTAGTAGGCAGTTACTTTTTTCAAGCCTGAAAACTATCATCGTGAAAGCCTTACTTGTGCCCGGTAACTCATTCTTATTCTGATAAACTAGTTTTAGGAAGGATACAATATTTTATTACAAATATCTGATGCATAGGCTGCGCACAAATATTTAATTTAGCTATAATTTTATAGCCAATACCAATTCCTATGCATGATGAAATGTCAGTAGGATCAGTGGAGAAATGTACCAAACATTTGCAAGATTTGATGTAGTTATTTTAATTACATTGATATTAACTGATTCTAAGAGATCTAAGAATATTCAAAAGAATTTAAAATTGTTCGAAAAATTAGAAGTCAGCATAGGCCAAATAAACAAGATTCTGAGAAAAAGAAATCTGTACTAATGAAAATAGCTAAGCAACCTTTTTACCAGTTTTTTTTTTTATATTGAAAACACACACACACACATGCAGATGTCCTGTAAACCTATATTTCACGTCTGCCATGACTTCAAAAGTTTGATGCACACCTCAAAGGAGAAGAAATAAAATTCAAGTTTCTATTAATTCAGTTTAGGTTTGTCAGGTAAAATTGAGTCAAACAAAGAAATTTTCACAACTAATTTATTAGGTTAGCCAACCTAGAACAATCAACTTCGTGTACAAATAAGACTAGGTATGTACTAATGATGCACAAAAGAACTATCTGTGGTGAGTGGGCAGGCTTTCCTTTCTTCATTTAACCGAACATATTAAAGAATAACAGCACAACTCAGCATATTACTTTTTCTTCATATTTATGCAGTCCATTTACAGTGTAATATGGTTCAACGTTTGAAAAATTAGCTGTTGTATATCAAAGAATAGAAGAAAGACAAAACCTCGATAACTCATCAAAAATTTGACCAAAAAGGTAGTGATTTATATTCTGCTCTCTCTTAAGTCGAAATTTTCAAAGCAAAGAAAGGGCAGAATGTTCCCAAACGTGACTAAAATAATCTTGAAACTTTATTGATAGATTTATTTCATTGTAAAGTGTAAGCTTACGAATCTGCAGCATGCAAGTGACTAACTCGATTCTCAGAATTATTCGAGTTTCAGTTGCGCCGAGCGTTAGGTAAGCTTAATTCAAGCCGTTATATCTATTATGGTAACATTTTGATCACGAAACGAATATCGCAACTTTTACTCACCAAAAACTGTCAAAACCCTAGCTTTATAAATGGCCACTCGATCGTTGTTTGTACCAGTCGACTTTCTTTTCATTTACAACACTCACGCTGTTCTCGTTTTCCCATTGAACCACAATAAAACCCATCTTTAGAAATGTTATATAGCCCACTTTGGAAAAGAGCGGTAGCCTGGAACCGAAGTCGCCGCGCAAGCGCTTATGGGACTGTTTGGGGGGACGTAAGTAAAACAAAAACATGGCGGAATTTAGCGCGGAATGTAGTAGTGACAGCAAGGTTTTAACAGAGCAAAATAGCGATAAGGTCGAAGTTATCGAAAGAAACAAATCTGACAGCGTAAAGCTAAGAGAAGAAGATGTACCAGGAGCAATTTTACCTCGGGAAATACCAGAAGAATGCACCGTGAAACAGCTGCAGCGATGGCTTCTTTGCCGTGGAGCTAAAACAACTGGAAATAAAATGCAGCTTGTTCAAAGGTAAGAAAGCTTTGAAATTATTCGAGAACTCTTATTATTGCCCCCTGTGCTTTACATTACGATGCTAGTCGACAATTTTCTGAGAACATCGTTAATACGTTCGTGTTTTGTCTATTGTGTTTCAGGGTAAAAGACTATATTGCTGGTGGCCTAAGCTCGAAGATAAAGGACCCTGATGGTGGAATCCATTTGGCTAAAGCTACGGCAGACCTGGGACTCATGGAAGAAATTAACGCTAAAAAACTCAAAGAAAACTTTCCAGTGGACGGATTTACAGAGGAATTGAATATTTTACCTGCTATATCATTTGGTACAATATGGAGGTACATGATTGAAGAGAGTGATGCTAAGAAGCAATTATCCACAGCAAAACCTCTTGTCAAGGGATACAATTTTTTTAAATCTGGCCATGTCCTTAGCATTAAATGCAGGGAATCTGACGGAAAGTTTTATGTTAAAAGTCAAGTTCTTCCATCAATGAAAAAGACAGTGTTGTATAATTGCTTCATTGTTTTCAACAAAGATGGCAGTGTAGTAACAGCTTATGATGGTTGCCCAGCTGGAGTTGACGGGCGTTGCAACCATGTAACTTCAACACTATTTGCACTGGAGGAGTTCTTCAAACAAAGTAAAGCACCTGTAAATCCTTCCTTAACCCCTGCACTTTCTTGCACTTCAAAGCCATGTGCATGGAATGTCCCAAGAAAAAGAAAGATTGACAATCTGCCAATTGCCAAAGCCAAATTTAAAAAACATCAACATGGCAAACTAAGCAAGAGTGAGGATAAATCTCCTCCATCAACAAGGGATGTTAGAGCACCACACCAGCAGTACCCGAATACAAACACTGACATGTATAATTTATTGCACCATGTCAAGGAGATTGAGAATAAGACACGCAAGAAAATGGCCTTAAGTCTCATTTTACCACAGAAAACTTTGGAGGAAAATAAAGAAACGATTTTGGTTGAACATAATTACTGCACACCCTTGACTCACATTGAACCAGTTGAACCAGAACAAGGAAATGGTAGTCCAGTGTCAACTGAACTGTTATCACCAGTGAAATGCCATCCAGTGAGTTTGGAAGAAATAAAGGAAAGGTGCATAAAAGTTAAGAAAAGGCTCTTTGCTGATGAAAAGGATGTTGATCAAATTGAAAAAGAAACCATGGGCCAATCAGTAAATGAAAACTGGAATCTGCATCGAAAAATAAGAATAAATGCATCTAAATGCCATCGAATTGCCACTCTGCAAGCAACTACCTCCCCTACAAAGGCTATTAGTGAAGTCTTACATTACAAGCAGATCCCTCAAACAATTTATATGAAAGAGGGCTTGTCAAGAGAAGGTGCTGTTATTGCAGAATACATCAAATCAAGGAAACTGAACAATCAAAATGTCCTAGTGAAACCATGTGGACTTTTCATCAGCAAATCACATAATTTCTTGGCTGCATCTCCAGATGGCTTAGTATACAATGCTGACTCCACTGAGCCAAGTTCCAGTGGACTTATTGAAATAAAACTTGTCTTCCTAAACGAGAATGAGACTTTGCATGATGGACTTATCAGAAAAAGAATCTTTCTTCCTGGTTCAACTGATGGACAGCTGGTTATCAACCAGAAACACAAGTATCACTATCAAGTCCAGCAACAGTTGTTTGTTACAGAGAAATCATGGGTGGATCTGGTGATTAAGGGAGTTAAAGAGCTTACAGACAGATCATTTGTAGACATTGAAGGTGTTTTCATTTCGACAGTAAACTTTGATTGTAAATTCTGGAGTTCAGTGCTCCCAAAACTGGAGGCATTTTACAATGAGCACATTCTTGTAGAACTTGCTTATCCGCGTGTTAAATATGGCCTTTCAAGATTTGACATGAGAGGATGTTGACTGACGTACATAATTAATTTGCTAAACTGGTATGTTGTTGAACTTACTTTCCTACATTGGCCTTCGATGCCCACGAATAATGATTTTAATTCAAGGTTGGGGTGAACAATTTTCATGTGGTTTGATAAATTTACAATAATTTTGTCTGCGCCAGAATTGACTTGAAATCATTGTTCGTAATCACTTAGGTTGAATTCGGGAAAGTTCTATGAAAGGCATTAATAAGATAAAACTCACTCCATGTTAACAAGGCTGAACCTTAAATCTAAAATAATATCCCCAAGAAATTTAACGTGTGTAATTTACTTTGTGTGTAGCTTTTTTTTTAACAGAAGGAGCTCAAATACACAGATTATAATACATAATAATCAAAGTCTGAGTGAACAATCTTGCATATTATTGAAGATGAGGCAAATCAAGAAAGGTTATTAAATAAGATTCCACTATCTGCTTGGAGAAAAACATTGCTTTATGTACAAGTAGAAAGTGAAAAATTGTTGTATGGTTCCAGAAAGTCCATACTCACCCAATGAAAGGGCTTCGAAAATCTGAGGGAGGGGACCCAACAGCCAAAGTTTATTAGGGAAAGTATGAAGGCAAACTAGAAATTCCGGGGGGCGGGGGTTGGAAGGGTTTAAATGAAAAAACCCTCCTATGGGGAAGTACGGACATTTCTGGAATCATGCATTACACTTTAATCAATGAGAGGTGGTAAAAAGTTTGTAAGTGCCCCTATGATTATAAACATGTCACTAGCAATAGGAGCCAATGTTAAAGGAATTCTGCTGTCAAAAATATGCCAGTTTTTCATCCTTTCAATACATCTCTCAACATGTATTCTCAGGCTAGCAATTTTTTTGTTGTGTGCCATTTCTTCTCTGCTGAACTGAGTTTTTCCTTTAAGAAAAGAAGGTATGTTTACAGTAACCCCTTTTGCAGCAAAGTCATCTTGTATGTCAAAGCCTTTGTCTGCCATGACATCGTCCCCAGGATGCAAGTAGTCAATCACATGAGACATTTTGGTAAGCTCCTTGTCACTTATGCTACCAGTGTAAAGCTCGCTTAAAAATCCCAGGGCTCCACTGGGCGAAAGACCAACTAGTCCTTTCATAGTTGTTGTTCCTTTATACGAGGAATAACACACTGACTGCATGTCAAGTGATGAGGGGCTCTCTGCTCGAATTTCAACAGCATCAATAATTAGAACTGTCCTTGGATAAAGTTCCTTGAAAATGTTTGGCATGAACTGATGTAGAAGCTCTCTCCTGGGGAGGCAAATTAAAGGCTCCAGTTCAATCCTCATAAACCGAATCTAAGTGTTAAACACAACAGAAACAGTAGTTTCAGAAACTTTAAATCTGTGTGCAAGATCCTTTTGAAACAAGCCAAGCCTAAGTCTCATTAAAGTCATAACAAACTCTTCAAATAAAGTCAATGCTCTGGGTCTTCCAAGCTTTTGCTCTGAACCACTGTCTTTCTTTTCGTAACTGCCATAGTTCAGGTTCTGAGCCTTCTGACTGACCAGGTCATAAAGGAGCATAAGTGCGTCCCAGTGGGGAAGGCCTGTGTAAAATTCGACATCTTCAGGGCTGTCCTTAAATTTTACAATGTCAAATTTCTGATTTTTCGTTACATGCTGAAGTCTCTTTAACTCCCTTGATAACTCGTCTCTCTCCCTTGCCAACCTTTCCTTTTCCTCTCTCATCTCTTTAAGTTCGGCTTCCATTCGATCCAGCATTTCTACAGTCATTTCAGTTTGTGTCGCTGCATCGCAAAAGGCCGGAATGGACTCCTCGTGATCAATTTCAATAAGAGTCCCTTCGTCAATTTCGGTAGAAGATCCCACGTCCACTTTTCTTTTCTTGCTTGCTGTATTTGCAGTCGCTTCCGTTCTGGACAAAATCCGTCGCTCCTTTTCCTTCTTGCTCCAAGGAAATATCGATGGAAGGTGAGTTCTGCTGAGCTTACTACCTCCAGTCCAATGCGCAGAGCAAACGCGTGTACTGTCGGACTCTATCTTCAAATTATCCTTTCTTAGTAAACGGACATATTCTCTGCGAATACTTTCATCTTTTGGAATTCGATAAAACGTCAATCCGAAGGAGTTTCTGAAATTATTGGTGCACAAAGGCACACAACAACTTACGTGCTTGGGCATAATTCAAGATGGCCGACTTGAGCGTCCCCCCAAACAATCCCATAAGCGCTTGCGTGGCGACTTCGGTTCCGGGCTACCGCTCTTTTCCAAAGTGGGCTATTAAGCAAAACAGTTGAGAAAAGAAACAACTTGAAGCAAGAACGATTAACCGATGAAAAGTACATTCAAAGATGAGCGCCAAATGGAGTTTTCTTTGTTTCCAATCACGGGAATGATCACGTGGATCTTTAGCTAAGAGAATCCGCTGGCTTGACCGATTGCAGTCGCAAGAGAAGTGCGCACAATTACTCTGTCTTTTCCGACCGGTTCTCTTCTCTTGGATGGTGGATAAATGTATAACATATATAAATAATGATGTGAATTCACTCTATGTAGAAATAATCGACAAGAATCGAACAAGAATGCACGATTTGTGGCCGAAAGCTGTCGAGGAAAGAAAACTCGAAACCCACTTGAGTTCTGTTCACGGCAAAGGTGAGAAACAACACAAGCCAATCACAATTTTGAATGTGATTACAAATTGTGTTTTACCCTCATTTTTATAAAAGAAGGATACCACATCAGGAAGTATAAGAGATACCAAGATAATCCCAATGTACTAGTACCCAAACCAACAAGGCTTGACCGTAACAAGCATTCAGCAACACGCTCCAACACAACAAGCCATCTCGATTCCTCAGTCCGTCTTTCCACTGAACTAGCAGTGGTGCCAATAGAGTCAAGTGTGTCTCATAACGGAGAAACATTTGCACGAGAGACAGAGGCAACTATATGCGATTAAAAAAGTGCATTGGAATTCTCGTCACAAATGGTTATGCACAGTTCGAAGCGTTCCCGCGCTTGGAAAGGGGTGGAGAGAACGAAGATACAAGGTTGTCATTTTATACTACAAGTAAAATTTTATACCAGACCTACAAGGTATAGAAGAGTTCTGTTGATCGCTGACTCAAAGAAGAACAACAAGGAAACTTTGGAACTGTTATTGTTGAACTGTGTGATTCGCAATTTTCATTTGTATGTAAAGAAGGACTTGTATTTTGCACCAAAAATATAAGAAGTAATATTTTTAGGAGATCCAGTGATTGGGACATTTAAGAAATTAAGTTATGAAAAGAAACTCGGTTTGTACTTCTTACTACTAATAAGTCTTGTTTTAAAAATATTTTCAGATCAGAGTTTCAAATAAAGCAAATTGAAGAAGTCATTTAAAAGGTGTATTTTTCTCTAAGGGAACGGTGACCACCTCTGTCTTGTCTCCATGCCAAATATTTGCGGAGTGTGTGGATGATCCATAAGTATCGGAACTCTCACAAGAATGTTTTGTAAGAATGAAAAAAGCAAAAAAATATTTTCGTAGGTGGGATAAAGAATCCCAGGTGGGATATGGAAATCCCGACTAGGATCCCGGGTAGAATGCATAAGTCCCGCCTAAACTCCTGGGTGGGATGCAGAAATCCCGCATTAAATGCGGGATCCCAGGTGGGATCAAATTTTCATCTCAGGTGGGAAAGATGGGATCCCACCACCTGAGGCGGGATCCCACCATTCCCACCAGGGATCCTGGGTGGGATTGCCAAGATCCCGCCTATATCCCGCCTGACATTTTACCTGGGATTTTAGCAGAAAAGAGTCAGTTACCACCTGGGATTTCAAATCGAACTTGCGCTGCGCGCTCATTTGATTTCAGCCCAAATTGCACTCCACTCAGTTCAATTACCATTATTTATTACTCCCATTTTGAAATCACTGTTGGTCCCTGTAATCTGATTGGCTCTAATTGGTGCGATTTATTCTTGACTCGCACCATTTTTTGCTTTAACTCACATCTTTTTCCCAGCCAGTGAGGAGGCTTCACTAAAAACAAAAAAACCAATCAGATTTCAAGGTTTACTGAAAACAACCGATTAAATTGCAGGAAAATGAGAGACAATGAGTATCACGAGGCAAATTTTGCAACTTTTGTTTCCAGAACTCTTATCTTTTCCCCCCCAAAATGGATGAATTTAATTTCAAACTAGCTCAGTACTACATTGAACTGACCAAGTTCTGTACTTGGGCAATTTCAAAATGGATGAAATCACGCGTATGATTTCAGCCCAAATTGCACTCCACTCAGTTCAATTACCATTATTAATATCTGTCAATGCAGAGTAAAGGAAAATGTAATATGATCCATACAAGTAAAGGGGATAAGAGACTTAGATTAAGTGTGATAAACATTTAAGGAACTAAAGAGCTCCTTTGACTACATGATATTTGTGGCAAATTTTCAGGGAGCTTAACACCCATAAGTCTCAATGTTAACAGTTTCCTCAAAGTGAAATTTTTCCTCAAAAAAATAAAAACAAAACAAAACAAACAACAACGAAACCTCCAAGAGAGAGGACAAAGTCCTTCAAACGAGGAGCGTATATCACAACATACAAGAAATAGTAAAAGCTGACACAAGTAAACCATGCCATACTGCATGTGCAACATTAACCCTATAACTCCCATGAGTTACCAAGACAGAATTTCTCCTTACAATATTAACAAGATAAGTGATGAGAATAAAGAAAAAGATCAATTGGATGATAATTAGTAGATTCAATACTAAATTCTCTGAACTAACATTACAAGAATTGTATGGTTGACAGTGAATAGAATAACAAATTTGATCTGGGAGTTAAAGGGTTAACTTTTAATTTCAAATCATAACTAGTACTGCATAAAACTAACAACTTGTACATCAGTTACAGAAAAATCGAAAATCCAAAGGTAAACAAAAACAAAGGCGTGGCTGACCAGGGTCCCTTTAATAGCCTTTTTTTTAACAACTGTCCTCCTTTTCCTTTTTTCTTTTTGCTGTTGTTCTCCTGTCCTTCTTTTTCCTTTTCCTTCCAAGTTTACTACCGGTATGTTCCTTCTCCTTTTCTTCTCTATGTTCCCTCTTTCTCTCTTCTTCTTCATCTTCTTCCTTCTCCTCCTCTTCAGTGTTAACTTGTCTTTTGGCTACAGGTACTTCCTGTCCTCCCTCTGGAACAAAAATATAATTTTAGAGGTTTTAGGTTGACCAATAATTGTCTTTTTCTTGCTGTTGATTTAAATTATATATTACCCTATTTATAGGATTCCTAGATAGGACAGAAGCGCTTTATACATTGCCAGTTTAAGTAAGGGCCTAAGCAAAAAGGACCAGTAGGAAACGCCTATAATCCATGGTCCCCTAGGCAATAACATTCCGTAACACATGTTTTCTAGTAGAGTATGATCATTTTGTGTGAATTACTGATTGATTTGTTTTGGCGTAATGAATTTTGTGATGAAAGACTGCCATTGCCTCATAACACAAGGAGCTGTAATGATATATTATTATGACATAATCCCATAAAATGCAGTAGAATGCTAGTGGATCAACTACTGTCAGTGCTGGCCGTTTTTACCAACATTACAATCAAGATCCTCACTGGTAGGTTAAATACTGAGTATTATACTCTTACCTATATGCTTCTTACCTGCTTCCGCAAGAACAATTCCAGGTACTGGGAGCAATTCCTGAAATGAGATAAAAAGAAAAGGGAAGTATACCACCCACAGGAGTCACGTCTAACTTACTTTTAACAACTAACAACTTAGTCATTGCTCACAATAAAGATCAGCAATAGTTAAACCAAGACACGACTGGCTCCAGCTCTTATTTCCCTTAATAACATGATCATTATAATAAAGAGATAGTATACAAATTTAAATATAAAAAAGATAGATACTAATGAAACTTACATGAACTAATCTTATTCCATGACCTCATGTTTCAATGGTAAATTAAAGTGACACATTCAATACCATTTCTTAATTAAACACTCAGTAAAGGATGTTATTAAGCTAATTGCATAATAACATGATCTCTATTTCATTATGTCTCTAATTAACTTATGTTGATAAGGTGTTTATATAATGGCATGACCTTAATTAAAAAATTATGTGGTAATATATACTGTCAGTTGCTCAACCCTGCTGTTGTAAGTATTATTTCATTAGGTGTTAATGTTGGTGTTACGCAGGAGGAAGCCATGACAGTTCTTTTTATTCACAAAAGTTTTTTTGTTCATATGCTATTTGACATGTCTTCTATAAGTACTTCGGTCTAAATGTGTTTGGTTAACAGAAGAACTGTCACAAGAGGCAAAAAGGTAAGTAAGTCTGCACCAAGTATTGCTGCTTAGGGAGAGCCTTGTCCCAAGAACCAGTCAGTGTGCCCAAAGTGTCAATGCTTAACTCAAGTTAGCCATCCTAAGAGACTCGTCAGTCTGCTCTAAGTGTCGCGGCTCACGAAGAACCTCGTCCCAAGGGACCCGTCAGTCTGCCCCAAGTGTCCTGGCTCACGAAGAACCTCGTCCCAAGTGACCTGTCAGTCTGCCCTAAGTGTCAGCGTCATTAATTCTTGCTCGAATTATAGGAGTTACGCAAATTTTTCAACCAGATAAGTCGTATCATTTCTTTCTTGTAGCAAAAAACGTATACTTTGAAAAAATTCCGGAAAGCTGCCATACCAATATGTATTTGTCAACGTTTGATCCACTTTACCGAATTGTGAGGTAACCTAGTTATGAAACGAAAATTGTTTCCTGCACTTAGCTGTTTGTATAAACAGTAAACCACACTTTCTACCAGTTTACCAGCGTAAAAACCCAAGCATGATGTTGGGAGAACACGTGTAAATCACGAGTGATTTAAAGACTTTTCGGTTAGAACGTAGGTTATCCCTAAGAGAGTACCGTCTATTGCTTCTATAAAGTAAACTTATGTTCAAATTTTCTATGGGTTTACTGGTGCATAAAACGATAGGAACTGATCTATTGGGATGCTTGTAGGATCTCAGTTATTCTGTTATGATATCATGTTTTTATTACACCCATTTTGAAATCACTGGTGGTCTATGTAATCTGATTCGCTCTAATTGATGGAAATTTGACGGAACAACTGGGAATTCGTGGTCGTCAAGAACACTACGAGGGCGCTTT